TTGCACACCACATATGCAACCAGGACCCAAGTCATATGAACTCACACTAATCCAACATATTCTCTCCCTCCCTCTCTCTCTCTCTCTCTCTCTCTCTCCCTCTCTCTTTCTGTCTTCTCGCTCTCTCTCCTCTCTTGTGGCTGTGATCCCATTAGCACACCTGAAATAATACCTCAAGTGACAAATGTTTTGGCGCTTATAGCTGAGAGACAGAGGGCGAGAGAGAGAGAGGGGAGATACAAGGCACCCAGAGATTTAGCTATTTTCAACTCGCAATTACATTACAAACACTGTAAACCTTCAATTTAGTAGTACGGTCGCTGGTGCTATGCGAAAATGGTAGTTATGGTAGAAGAAAGAAAGAATGAATAGAAGAACCTTAGAAAATATGTGTTTATTTTTCATGTTTATTAATCATTTAGATGCTTTTATTTTGTAATCAAATGTACTGGTTACATTACACTGACTTTACACTGACTTTTTAAAATTAATATTATAAAAGGTATGTAAACAATTGCAGTAGACCTACAGCATATCAACATTTAAACAAAACATTGGAGAGCATCTTTAGGTGTATGAATATAACTCCTCTGGCATGAATATTTATATTCTGGAAAAGCAAAGACAATAAATATAAATGAACTTCAACATTTTATGAGTATAGAAATTGGAATACACAAAACATGCCCCCCAACAGCACTCTGTGTATTTTAGGAATATGTATATATCCATTTCCATTGACTTACATTAAAAGTGAAGTATGTTTTATATATATATATATATATATATATATATATATATATATATATAGTGTGTGTGTGTTCATATTATATAATATTATATATATATATATATATATATATATATATATATATATATATATATATATATATATATATAAAATTCCCAGAGAGTGTTGTTGGAGGACATAATCATTACACCATCCATAAAGAAGAAGAAAAAGCACCAGTTTGACTGTGGCCTTAATATGTGTGGTGTTAATGTGAAGAACTCCAGACTGTCAGAAACAGACTCCTGTCTAAATTAGATTTTATAGTTGATCTGCTTGCAGAGATCCCAGTTTACTTTCGTGTTGAAATGATGTTTTAAAATGTGAAATAGTCCATTTAAAGCATTAGATAAATCCTCTGGACAACATTGCACTACTCAGTCAAGACACCAGTCAGGGGAATAGAGAATACTTTAAATCAGAAACCAAAGTTGTTAAAACGTTAGAATGTGCGCGCTCTGTTACTGAGAAATGCTGTTTCACTCATTTCTTATTTTGAACTGATCAGGTTGTAGTGAGCAGCTTCATCTTTTACCTCACTTTCTCACTCTCAGTGCGCATTTACTCACCAGTGAGAAAGAAATGTAGATAAAGCCTTAATGAGAACGTCTTCAAGCTTTGGTTGTCCTTTTTCGCTTAAATGCATTTCAGCTGAAATACCGTTCACGTTTTTTTATAACTAAACGTTTTTCTTTTTCCTTTTGTAAATCGTGTTTTACAGTTTTGCTTCGACGTCTCTGTGTTTGAAAGGCTGAAGTTCCGTGAGTGTCCAGTAGGAGGCTGCACTGATCCAGCGCTGCTTCACAGTCTCTTCACTCCGGCGGTTTCTCTCTTCAGGAGTCTCTCCATGTTTACTTTGTGTTTATTATATCTGTTGAACGGTTTTCTAAAATGTGATCGTCCCTCGGTTTCAGTTTCCATTCATTTATTATTTCTTTTTCAGGGTTTCTTTAACAGAACATTTTGTCAAAGAGGCTCAGAGTTGATCTGCTTCCCTTCTTTTTTGTGTCAGATAATCTCAACCACAAATATTGACAACAGTCTGACAGAATCGGATCACTGCAGTTCACGTTTATTTGCAAAGTTTTGCGGTGAGCGTTTAAGTCCTAATTCTCCCCATTTAGTTGTATAGTTTCCCAATTTTATGTCAACTGATTTTTCGAGTGCTTCGTGTTGTTACTATTATTAGTTAGATGAGTTTATCTCCATGCATTAGAAATAAATTCAAATAAATTAATTTAAATATTAATATCAGCGTACTTTCCTGGGTTACTTATTATTGCAGCATTTTTTTTTCTTGAAGTGCATTTAAGAACGTGTAAAAATGGCTTAATTAGAAAGTGAAAAACCTCAGTAATTTCACCATTAATGCACCCAAATAACTCGAGTCCAGATAACAGACGTAACAAATGTTTAGTAAATTTGTTTAACTCTTTTCCACAGGACCCTAAACACTGACCTCTGTTTGACTCATAAAGGAGCTCAGCACAAACACTGGACTCTACAAAACAGCCTCCACACAAAACAAAACTCCACAGATTTCCAGGGAATCACTGAATTTGTCTGGAGAACCGCATCGCGTGTTAATATGTAAATCAACAACAGAATCTGAAATCCCCCTCAGGCTGTTTGAGCTAATAAACGGTGTAGCTAATTAGCACTTTGGTTCATAAATATAGCAGCACTGGAGGAAAAGAATAAGAAAAAAACACATTTTGTTGTTGAAGCAGCGCCTTATAAACCAGCTAGTAATTTTTAGTCATGGTTGTAAGCAAAGCGCACAGATAACAACACTCACACAAACTGTTCCTGTGAGTTTATCACCTGCAGTCGAGCAGATCTGGACTTTTCCAGCTCGCATTGTCACTGTTCACTGAGTCCTAAACTTCCTCGCAAAGGCAATTCAACCTAAATGACGGTATTTAGTCAGTGAGGCGTGCTGCAATCTGCTGACCCTCACTGCAAAAGAAAAGTTAGAGTGAAAGTCCTGGCCTCCATTGTGCTCCGCAGACTCCTTTTAGAGACGCTAATTGAAGCAGCTTAATTACTTTATAATGCTATTTGGGCGCTGTGGAGAGCAGCTTGGAGAGTTTGGCTAACGCGCCCTCTTCATACCACCTTAAACCGGACTCGCCTTAAATTTCAACAAACATTTGGGGAAGAAAAGCAGTGAAATGGACAGTAGCCTAAATAGCGTGTAATTAGGGCAGCCAGCCTCTCGTACAGTCTCAAAGTCTAGCATGTCAGATTTAAAGCCCCTAATACTGCAGACATGCTGAGTAATCTCCCTCGACGCGTTAAATAACAGTTCATAAAAAGGGAAAATGTACTCACAGCCGCACGAACGGGTGAGTCGCGTTCACTAGAGCCTCCGGGGCTCCTCAGCCCCTCCGTGTGTTCCTGTGGTCCGTCACTGCTCCGCTCTTCGGCCGCTGGGAATCATTTTCATAGCTGGACATTTCAGCAGCGGGCTCCTCCGCTCTCCGTGCTGTGGTCAGACGCAGCAGTGGCCGTGTGAAAGCCGCACTACCTGCTCTCTGCGCTGCTGCCACAAGCCGTAGCTGATCGATGACAGATTTGCTCCTACAGCTCGTATATGCACTCCCACATAACAGAGCCAGCACAGCGTAGGCAAGTCTGAACACACTGCTTTTGTCTTGGAGAAAATCACTAAAGTTTATATATATATATGTGTGTGTGTGTGTATATATATATATATATATATATATATATATATATAGGCATGCAGTAATGCTAATGCATATGTGATGACAATCCGCAATCTAATGGTGCGCATTTAAATATGTGTTAAAGGAGGGTTGTTTTTAGGCTACAAACGCTAGTTCACACACACACACACACATATATATATATATATATATATATATATATATATATATATATATAATTTATATGAAAGATTTTTTGTGACAGTACAAAAGTGTTCAGACATTATCTATCTATCTGTGTGTGTGTATATATATATATATATATATATATTTATATATATATATATATATACACACACACACACTACAGCTGAACTAGCATTTGTTGCCTTAGACTAACATTGATTTACATTGCGGATTGGCATCACATGCATTAGCATTATTACTTTTGCAACGTAATTTTTTTATATTTAGGAAAAAAAAAAACTTAAAAACATTTAGTTTTGCTCCATTTTCACCCCAAAAATGCCATTTTATATATATAATGAAGGACTGAAGGAGCAAAACGTTCTAAACACTTCTTATTATAATTACTATAATTACCATTATTAATATTAATACTTTTGCACATATAGCAAAGAATCTAGACGCGAGACAGATTTATCATATTTACTTAATAGTTCGTGTGACGGGTAAGTACATGTGTGTGTGTGTGTGTGTGTAGGTGTGTGTGTGTGAGAGAGAGAGAAACTGGTGAATTTGAATCTGATAAACAGAACACAAACAGCGTGCGTTTGTACTATTCTTCTTTTTTCCACCTCTTTTCTTATATTATATTTGGCCTCAAACAGTCCGATCGCCTAACTGATGGATCATTTCTGGGACCAATAGAGGAGCAGTATCTCTCGCCCTCTCTCTCATTGGCCGCTCCACCAAGCTGTGAGATCCTCCAGTGGCTGGATGAGCCCATTCTCAGACGGAGGGGGGTGTTTTTGTACATCAGAGCAGGCAGCTCTGCCTGCTTCACTTGTACACTGCAACACTGTGCAGCTTGTAGGAGAAAATAAAGTGCTAAACATCTCAGATGTGCCTTTCTGTGAGTTTCTACACTGTAAATGAAGAGACCACGTGGTTGTAGAGGCTGCAAATCAATACAAGCTAAACTCTTGGGAGTAGCTGAGCAGCTAAAAGCAGTTTTGTTTTAGGAGCTGGGCTGAATGTTCAGACGTAAAGAGGCTGAACTGAAACTCAGCGACTGTATGAGCCGATGCTGAGGGAACTATGTTGGGTCTCCGTGTTGAGACCCAGTTAGACGCCATGCAAGCCCACATTCTCACCTGCATGTTGCATTTGAAACGCGAATGAGCGCGTGCGGTGGTCCCAGATAACCCCGCGTGTGGCTATTTCTCTGCTGTTTAGTGTAGTGGACGGTGGTCTCGCGCCGCCCCCCCCCCTCTCCACACCCCCCCTCTCTGAGGGAGACTTGCTGCGGCCCGCTGCGTTGTGTAAGACGCGACCTGTTATGGCCACCACTGCTTCCGGGTTTCAGCAGTCCGCTTGAGCCTCAGCGCCTTCAGCACGCACTCAAACACACACACACACACGCGCGGAGATATACACGCACTCGCAGGAGCGCGCGCGCACACTCACGCCAAGGCGGCTCGCTCGCAGCATCGATCGTTGTGGCTCCTTTAAGAAGAAGAAGGAAAAAAAAAACTAAGGCAGAATTATCAGCCCACCTCCTGCTCTCCGTCTCATTTAGACGCCTTTTTTTCCCTCTCCCTCTCTCTCCTTTTTGTTTTGCATAAAGAAGAAAAGAGAGAGGGAAAAACAACTCGGGAGAGAAAGAGAGAGAGAGAGAGAGAGAGAGAGAGAGAGAGGCGGTGAGCGCGTCGTGCTCGTGAGCATTTGAGCGGTTCTCGCGCGGCGTGTGCGAACCGGCGGAGGCGCAGCGGAGGATCATCATTCATTCAGCACTTTGACAAGCTTCGCCTTTTTGACTGACAGCCGGAGCGGCGAGAAAGAGAGAGAGAGAGAGAGTGAGAGACTGAGAGAGAAAGAAGGAAGGAAAGAAAGAAAGAAAAAAGCCATGGGACTCGCTAGTTTTCTTTGAGGCTCTGTTTCCACATCGCTCCGGTTCGGGAGAGAAGCTCGGCGGTGCGGAGAGGAGCTGCTGGCCGAAGTTGAGCGTCCAGGACCGGCTTCATCGCACGAAAGACGCGCTTGGATTTTTTGTGCTTCTCTTTCTACGTTTTTTTGGACCCCAGCGTTTGGATTTGGCGTGTCTCGTGTTCTTCTCCACGCTGGCCTCTTAGGGAATATATCTCGCCTTGAACGAGTCCGAGGGAGCGTGGAGGGCGATGGCGCAGAGGGTGCGTAGCCTGCCTTCACACACACACACTCACACACACACACACTCACACACACCGAAAAAGTTTCTCCAGACTCGCTGTGGCAGAGCGCAGGCTGGAGACTGAAACGTGGCCGATGACAGACAAAACTTTTTGTCTTCTGGATTAAAAAAAAAATAGATATTTGTGAAAAATTACTGCTTTCAGTGGAAGTAAAGAAGCCGATAACCACGCTGAGTGGGTCTCCGCTCGCGCGTCTCTCCTCGCGGAGCCACTTTATCAACTTTTCCCGAGTCCTTCATACAGTAGAGCTCAGCCTGATTATAGCGACTCGAACACGGGCTGTCTGACTGTGAGTGGACTCTCAGATCGTGCGAACGAGAAGAAAGCAAAGCTTTCGCACTTTTTGCCCGGTGGGCTGTAAGCGCGTGCTGTCTGCACCTCTACAGGTTCAGGCTGTGGGATGTGTTCGCTCCCATTCGGCCCACTTTCTCTGCTGCTGTTAGCCTGTCACTCTCAGCTAGCACCATCAATAATTCACCCTAGACTGGATGCAACAGGCCAAAGCCAATTTTACGTGTTTTGTTATTATTTTATTGTGAATACTTTAGCTAAAAACGCGCGTGTTTGGGGGGGGAAAATTATTTGACAAAGTTTTAAAATTGCATGCATTGCAAATATAGTGCAAAAACCAAACTGGCCTGTTGGGCATCACTGTAGATCTGAATATTCTTCCATTTGCATCAGTTTTAATAAGAAAAGAATTAAAATACTGTGTCTGTATTAGACATTAGTGAACGTTAGTAAACGTTCATGCAACTGTGGTTGTTGTTGTTGGTGTTTTTAAAATAATTTTATGGGTTAAACCAAAAATGTAGCACTGCATAAATATACAAATATATGCAGCTACACGCTGAATAGTTCACAGCACTGACTGATAGTCCACTGGTTCACAGCACTGACTTTAACAACACACACTGTTAGTAAACTGTTTACTACACAGTAAAAACGCACGTGGAAAAAAAAACGTTTTCCCTGTTCACTGATACTTTTTGTATCTCGTATTTTCTGCATTATTTTTCTTTCTTATATTATTTTGAAAATGTTGTTGGTGCAGTCTGAGAGTGAATTTTACTAACAAATATTTTTCTTGTTCTTTTTAAACTTGTTTGGGTCTCACTCAACTATTTTGATAGAAATTCTGTTTTTTTTAGCTGATATGTTGAGCAGTTTAACTCTGACTGAGATATATTATAAACTCTTGCTTTGATTCTGTGTGTATGTGCAGTGTTGACGCTCTTTCAGCGGTGTGTGAGCTTTATGATCTGCTGTACTGAAGCTCGTGTTCGTGTTGAGGCTGTTGAGTCTTTTAACCGCTGTGTGTGTTTTGCTGCGCGCAGTACGAAGACCTGCCCCACTACGGCATGGACGGGGTAGGGATCCCCACCACCATGTACGGGGACCCCCACGGCGCGCGCTCCATGCAGGCGGTGCACCTGAACCACGGCGCGCAGCTGCACGCGCACCAGTACGCGCACGCGGCGCACCCCAACGCCATGGCGCCGGGCATGGGCAGCTCGGTGAACGACGCGCTGAAGAGGGACAAGGACGCCATTTACGGGTACGAACACATTTACACACACACACACACACGCACGCGGGCTCTCCTGCAGTCCGCCGTTATTTTGCGTCCTGAGGCTGAAATGTAAAAACTTGAAACAGCTTCTCTGTTTATTTTTATTCCCCTCTTTTTTGCTGTGTTTATCCCGTTTTTCTGTCTGAACTTGTTGCTTGTTGCTCGTTGCTCGTTTAGTCTCTGGTCGGTTTCAGGCCTGAGTTGCGCGGCGTGATTTTCTCAGAGGTCTGAAAGTTTTTATCTGAGCTGCTTGTTTACTTCAGTAAATATTTCTGCGCTCTCAGTTCAACTGAACTCATATCTGGAGTTCAGCTTTAGCCGTTTGTTAGTTTGCCATTCGTTTTATTACATATTTTACAAAGACGTTATATACATACGCTTTATTAGCTTCAGCGCGAGCGTGACTGGGTGATTTTTGGATAATCGTGTTTAAGATAATATTTATACGCAGAAGAATAACAATGTTATTACACTATAATAATCTGTGCAAATTGCTGGAGCGTGTTGCTCTGAGTTTTGGCTCTGAGAATATTAGCTTGAATTGTAAATTACATACGCTGATTGCTAATATTAATTTTATTAATGATAAAATAAAAGCGCGTGCTACACACGTCGAGAAGGCCGTCTGCGCGCTCTGATAGCTGCTTACACAGCTCCTTTAACTTTACACACTCTTTCACATTAGACACAGTTGAGCTTATCTGCGTTAAAAAGTGTATTAATGCTTACAGTGACAGTCTGAACCGAGAGTGTGTGTGAGTGTGTGTGTTCACAGTGAGTGTGTGCGCTGTTGGCTGTTCAGTGCGCTGTTTCAGTTGGTTTAGCGCTAACAGGCTCCTCAGACAGAGCTGAACTGGGCCTATCTGTTTTATTCGTGGGATTTTATCCCGAGTGACGTTGTGATTGCATTATTATTATTATTATTATTATTATTATTACAAATTGTCTTTATATGTTTTTATTCCAGGCACCCTCTGTTTCCACTGCTAGCACTGATTTTTGAGAAATGTGAATTAGCGACGTGCACCCCCAGAGAGCCCGGGGTGGCGGGAGGAGATGTGTGCTCCTCAGAGTCCTTCAATGAAGACATAGCAGTGTTTGCAAAGCAGGTCAGACTCCAGGAGAAAGAGCTGCATTGCCTGCACTCTTCGCTAATTACCCTTTTCTGAAACGTTAACACTTTTGCAACTGTGTTTATTTTCTGGTTTAATAATAAAGCGAGGTTTTGTAGCTCATGCATATCTGTGTGTTTATTTATTTCACTTCAGATCAGAGCAGAAAAGCCATTATTTTCATCAAATCCTGAGCTGGACAATTTGGTAAGTGACATTTGTTTTTGTTTTTTTGGGTTTTTTTTTGTGCTCTTTAATTCTCTAAAGACACATGGGAATAGAAAAAAGCTCCTATTCAGCTTTAAAGTTCTTCCAACTTCCACGCATGTCCGCAGAGTGGACTGTCTGACCCACTGCTTAACCTAAAGACTGGAAAACTTTTTGTATTTAATTTCTTGCAGATAAAACTATGCAAATGCCTCTATATTAGCGCGTCATTGGCGTTCAGCACTTCTTTTGCTGAAATTTGAAGACACTTTTAAGACAATCATTTCGTAGTTTTTGACAAATGGAAAACTTCATTTATAAATAGTAATTTAATTCTACAGTTAATTGCATTGACCGTAAACGCCACGTAATATAAATGAGGTGCCATTTGTTATTTTCCTGCCGTTGTAACAACGTGTTTCAACGCTTATAATTCATATTAAAAAGGATTTATATTTATTTTGTTGCGTTATTGTTGTTATTACTCTTTTTCAGATGATTCAAGCCATTCAGGTTTTACGTTTTCATCTGTTGGAGCTGGAGAAGGTAACGCAAACTTGTGTTATTATTTGCATGGATGTGTATCTATCTACCTATCTATTTATCTGTATATCTATATCTATATATCTATATCTGTATCTATCTATCTATCTATATATATATATATATATATATATATATATATATATATATATATATATATATATGATGTCCTGCTCGCTTTTGCAATTTGTGTCAAAGTCAATCGTGTTGGGCGTTTTTCGCGTTTTTCCTCCAACTTTAATCACAACGCAGGCTGCTGAAAGTGGAACCGACAGGCTTCTCCTCAACAACAGCCCTAATCTCAACCCCCCTCTCCCCCCATAGCGCTACACTGTCGTTAAAAGTCAGTCAGAGAAGCCACAGCGTTGTAGTTTTAGCCCAACATGAGAGTCAGTTTGCTGTAGAGACCACCAGAACCAAACGGCGCTAACACATGAGGTCCAGCGGCTCTCTAATGAACCCTCAGCGGCTCCTCGTTTACTGGCGAGCCCTCTCCTTCGCTTTTCACGTGAGAGGCCCGAAGGTGGTGAAGCAGGGATGGTAGAGCTGCCCGGGCTGTGGATTTAACGCGGCTGCTGCTCCCCACGTCACTCTCAATTGTAGGCGATCTCTCTATTTTCCCGGAGATAAAGTTGTCCATGCTTTTCCTCGCCACGTCAGAACGAGCCCTGCAAACCGCATAAGATCCTGCTTATTATTCTTTCACTCATTTAGTTCGTTATTTATTTATTTGTGTTTTGGTTTCGTCTCAGGTGCACGAGCTCTGCGACAACTTCTGCCACCGCTACATCAGCTGCTTGAAGGGCAAAATGCCCATCGACCTGGTCATCGACGAGAGAGAAGGAGGCTCCAAGTCGGACAGCGAGGAGATCAGCAGATCCTCAGGGCCGCTCGATCAGGTACGCGCCTCCTTCGTCTCCTTCTCCCTCTTTCTCCTCCTCCTCTTCTTTGCTTGAGCTTATTTCCATACGATTAAAGGCCTTCAGCTTCCGCGGGAATGAAAATGTTTTTTTGGAATAATGTAGCCATTAGCGCTTCATTAAGGGGCTGATCCCGGATCCGACCCGAGGAGATTAAGCCTGCGAGAGCGCTGCCATAAACTTGACCTGCTTCGTGTCCATTTTAATTTAGTCGTCTCCCATCGCGCTTTTTTCTTCCTTTTCTCTTTTTTTCCCTCCTCCTCTGTCCTTCTTTCTTTTTTATCTATTATCGCATAAGCTAGAGGAGGGCGGTTTGTGTGTGTGTGTGTGTGTGAGAGAGAGAGAGAGAGAGAGAGAGGGAGAGAGAGAGGGAGAGAGAGAGAAAGAGAGAGAGAGAGAGAGAGAGAATCTCCAGAGAGCGTTAAGGCGATTCGGTGCAGCCAGTGCGCCGAGGCGTCTTGGATTTGCAGCCGCCGTTCACGCTTCATTAGCCGACTTGTCGCTGTGTTTTTCGACGTGGAGCTCACGCCCCTTCTGTGGGACGCCCCAGTATATTTAGACACTTTTCTGCTGTAATAAAACGCGTCAAGGTGCGTTTGGGTCGCTCGTAACCAAATGCGTAATTACGCACAGGCAAAAACAGAAGTTTTTGGGACTGATCTCTCATTATAGGATAACTGGTAGCTTTAGTAATAGTTCTGTCTCTAGATAAGCGAAGGTGAATGTCCGTAGTAAGTTGGATTAGCAGAGTTCCCCAACATAAAACGTAATGAAGCGATTAGGCTGTATCATTTGAGTCCATGAACTTCCATATGGCTGAGCGCTCGGATAAAAGCCCTAACCAGTCGTAGCTCCTCTGACGAGCCCGTCGGTCCCGGGCTTCTTTATGTGAGAGAAAGCCCTGTTGAACCGTGCCATTCATTACCGAGCCGAGACTGGGGATGAAACGACCTCTGGCTGCAGCTCCATCTCAGCTCTATTAGTGATTATGTTAATGAGCACATTGGCACACATAATACTTCATGTAATTCAAAGGGAGAGTTAAATAAGATAATGCCAATTGTGCTTTTGACTGTTTCTTTTGAGCAAAATTCTGTATGGGAGGGGGGAGGAAGTGGTTGTCAAGAGTCTGGAGCTGATAAATGTTTGAGATGATGAATTTCAGTGATAGAAATAGCCAAGGCCTATATGAAGCCCCATGGGTATCTAGGTATATAACTTGATAAGAGCAATTTACGCAGTGCTTGGGGGCACAGATTCAGATCTTTAATTGACTTTAGGATGAACGCTTGGCCTATATTCTCCTCGATGATGGCTTTTACGCTAAATGTCAATGCTGGTGTTATGTTTACAGTTTTCTTTTGTAATGAAATACCAAATTCACCAAAAGTTAAAAAAGCTAAAAGCCTCATGCGAGTTATTGACATATGTTTTTACCATGAGATAACATTGCAGGGTAAAGCTTGCCACTAGGCCGTGAAGGCACTTTTGGTTGACAGCTGGCACTACACAAGTCTGAGCATGAGCAATCAGTTGAATATATTTCTCTCTTTTTTTTTTAACCCTATATGTTTTTGTGCAACTTCAGGCTGCGTTTGTTAGCCGGCGACATCCTTAACGAATTTGCATTGTGTGCATTATCTTGTTCCGTATGTATTTTTAATATATGCCCTTGGGCATAAAGTTGAATTGGACTGGAAAAAATGTTCTTTGTGCAAATTCTCCACAAATGTTAACAAGAGGGAGAAGGGCGGCTCATTTATTCATAAACCAATTTATTCCAGCAAGAAGACTCCGGCAGAAGGGAGAGGGAGGGGGAAAAAAAATGTTTCGGGAATATACATAGAATTTATTAAACTCTTTGGTCCGGCTCTCGGCTGGCTTTTTTTGTTTTTCTGCGCACCCAAGCATCGTATCAATAATGTCTTCAGCTCCGGCTCGCCATTGTTTTGCACGGCCTGCGAGTAGTGAAAGATGGAGGGTGCCTCCCGACCAAAAGAGAAAAAAGAGAGAGGTGAAGAAGTCAGATCCTCTCTGCTTGTGAATGCCACCGAGCCAGTTTTGGAATTTACGTTTCTGCACTCCAGACCTCGCTGATAAAGGCACGGGCCCCCTCAGGTGCCATGTGAGTGGTGGGACTGCTAACCCCTCGCTCTCCCAGGCGTCTAAGCACACTGAACCTAACTTGTTTCTGCTCACGTCTAATGCAGTGCTTATTTCTTGGACAAACAAGACACGGGTGATGCAACTGATTAGTTGACATTGATATGAACCTTGACAAAATGCTATAACTGGTTCTGCTCTTATCTGTGCCGTCTATTGTGTCATAGTGTTTTTTTTGTGTGTGTGTTGGTGTAAGGATGGTGGCTCTTGGTAATGTGTTTACAGTGTAGGCCATTTGCTCTGTGCTGATGCTTACTCTGACAAGTTAAGTAAAGAGTGTGAAGACATTTGCATGGGCTGCAGCGTTTGCACAGTTGCCTTTAATTGCACAGAACACAAGGAGCGGCTCCGCCATTTGCTAATGAACTCAAAGCCTTAAAAACAGACTCCATGGTGCGGCAGTAGTTGCTGTAGCTGATCCATGGCTCTTTAGATTATTCCAGGCAGGCTGGAGAAGGTTTCAAATAATTGAAATGCTCTGCGGTGCCTGTTTTTAGACAGTTTTATACTCCTTCCATGAGATTTGTTTACACCAGAGTTTTGCTACATCCATATCCCATAATGTGTAGGAAAATTGCGCTTCAGGCCAGGACTGCTTTCATATCATTGTGCTGATATTGTGCTGTATCTGTGTCTTATCTCTTACTGTACTGTAGTGTTGCTCTCACTTCCCCATTTTTGTGGTTCTAGTAGTGTCTGTTGTGGTGTTTGTAGTTGGGCTAGTACACTTTACCGTAGGATTCAGTGAAGACAGCATTCATGCTCTTGCTTTCCTTAATCAATATCAGTTTTTTTGGTTTGTATTTTGATATTCTGAGCTTTGGTGATTGTGTAGCTGTGCCTTGCTGCTTTTATAGACCTTGTGCAATGCTTGAACAATTACAGTGATTGTGAATAATCATAGGCTTTGTGGCAGAAATTAGAGGTTGTGATCCCTCTCTCTTTCTGTGGACAAATGTAGGTCGCTGTCGAGGATTCAACAAGTGATACAAAGAGATAATCACGTGACTTTTTATTGTGTGTGTGTGCACGTGTGTGTGTGCTTCCTCTAGAATGTAGCATGGGAATTTCAATGGTGGTTTCTCTGATTAGTCAAATTCAAAACAGGCTATATTTAACAGCATGCTGGCTCTGGGTTAATATGGAAAGTTAATGAATTTTTTATATATACTATATACAAAACTTTTTCTTTCTTTTATGTATATATATATATGTACACATGTATATATGTATCTTTTATGTATATATATATATATGTATACATATATATATATATGTATCTTTTATGTATATATATACACATCACTGCTGTAGGAACAAACCCTCATATCTCTAACATGATAACTTTACAGGAGAAGCAAAAAACATACTTTACTTTTAATGTAAGTCAATGGAACCAGAAGTTTTTCCAAGTCATTTTGGGCTATTTCTTTTCATTCATTCATCATGAAATTCACACACAATGTAAAGGACAACAGGCATTTTCAAATTATGTCAAAACTCAAAGAGAGATACAAGGTTTTGTTCTGACAGGAGCAATATATATATATATATATATATATATGTGTGTGTGTGTGTGTGTGTGTAGAAGTCTGTCTATCTATCTACATATCTATCTATATACACACATATATATAGATATTTAGATAGATAGATGTGTGTATTATACTTGAAAAACAAATCTCAATGTTTTTCAAGTATAAAAAGTATAATATACATGTATATATGAATGAAACTCATTATTTTTCTACACATATTACTCATTATTCTACCAAACATTTACATATTTAGTACAAAAAACTTTTCTTGATTTTTCTTGTTATACCCAAGCTTAGATGTTTTTCGAGAAACTGAAGCTTTCAGCTTCCTCAAGCAATGCCTGCTTGTGTGGGGACGCGAAAGCTATTGTAATTAAGCAAGACGTGTGATTATCCTCTGGTGCCATTAAGAGTGACTCTACTTGTTCTAAAACTAGATATCACCCACAGGCCATGCAGAGATATTTTTCTCTCTCCAGAGACCGAAACCAACCAGATTTCTTCAGCAATTATCAAGTTTTCCCCCCCCTTTCTCCCCCTCCTCCTCCTCCTCCTCCTCCTCCTTTCCCTCTCCCCTTCTTTCTCCCTTTTGCATTGTGAGATTTGGGAAAGGAGTAGGTGTACGGGGGAGGGGATTGTTCTAGCCTTCTTGCTCTCGCTCTCTCACTCTCTCTCTCGCTCTCTTTTCCTTTTTCGGTGGCTGTGCATGCCATTATCAAAATCCTTTTATTTCCAAAGGTCCTCTAATATTTCAGCATGTGGTGAGTTAGCACCAGGCCCGAGCTAGCCGCCACATGCTCTGCTATCAGCTCGCAGGATCCTGCTCTTATCAACATGCGGAAGTAAACAAATAAACAAACAAGCGAGCTTCTAGCACAGATTTGCTTTCTTGGTCGCCGTCCATTCAGCTCATGTGTGAATCCCAAGCTGCAGCAGCGACTCAAAGGGGAGCCAGTGTTAGTCAGTTTGCTCAAGCACCCTTGCAAATCTCTTTCTGTGCTTTATTTTAGAGAGGAGAAAGAAAAGAATCTTCATTAGTGGCTGTCTTGTAAGGGCTAGGGAAAAAAACTCGCACTGCTCTGAGGCACATTCAGTCAAAAATGCATGAAAATGTAAACACATGCATGCTTGTGTGTTTTTTAACCCTATAAACCCTATATGTAAATATATAAGCAAGAGAGCGTTCAGCATTTCCTTTATTATAATAAAGGAATCGGGAGCCCAAGCATTCTTTGGTATAAATGCGGGGTGCACTGTGAGAAAAGGCAGCCCTGGCGTCTAAGTCCCAACACAATGAAAATGCAATGAATTGGAATGCCTCACCGATCATAGCGGAATCAGAATTTCCAGCAAGGAAAATCTTTTCATGGCGAATTAAGTGGCGGAGGAAGAAAATGGTAATGAAAAAAGAGAGAGAGAAAAAAAAAAGAGGCAGGCACAGATGACAAACGCTGCTCCCTGGGCTACGCGCTGCAGATTTAAGAACTTTAGCTAAAGCTACGCAGAATAGAATGTGGAAAATTGAATTTACTAAACAATTAAGCATTGAATTAATCTACATCCTGCACAGGAGAGGGAGAGAGAGAGAAGAGAGGGAGAGGAAAAACGCAGAGGGGGAGGGGAAGGAGGGGAATAAATCCTAGCCAGCTCATTAGAAGGACAGTGAATATATCAAGCGTGTTGTAGCGCTTTGTCCAGCCACCATCCTGAGCACCTCTCTGGGATGTTTTCTCAGGCCTACGTACAGCTTTTACCTACAGCTGCTGCGTTTGTTCTGGGTGGCCTGACGGAGCGCCCCCTCACGTTCTGCTGCTCTGTGATCCGGGCGTTTTCTATTAATTAGCCGTTAGATCAGTGGTGGCCAGGAGTGGCCGACCGGTTATAAATAGACTGGAGTGTACCCTGGAGATGTCACTCACCCTCGGCTAAGCCCCTCCCCCGTTCCCAGGGGCCCCCACAGCAAACCTCCCGCAAGCCCCACTGCTCTTTTGTTCAATTACAGTTAATGCAATAGTTTGCCATTTTCTCCTTCTAATTATATTTTCAAGTGGGATTTGTTGCGCATAAGAAAAAAAAAAAAAACATCCTTTTGCATGGTGAGGCGCTGGGGTTTCAGAGCCTGGCATTCTCCATCCCCAGGGTGCTGTACCATTCTTTTCCACAAAGCTCTGAATAAACAAGTTCCCTCCATTTTCCCCCCTCTGTCCCCCCCTCATTCTCTCATTCTCTTTCTCTTTCTTTTTTGAAAAGCTGGAGTTGTGGAAGCTGGCAATTTCTGCTTTAACAGTTTGCTCTCTGAGCATATGTTCTAAATTACCTCTTACAGCATACTTTTGGTATGCTGCAGAATACAGAATACACTATTTTTTTTTCTTTTGACTGTTTTTTTTTTACAGCATTTTCTCTCAGTGCTAATACATTGTGAGCGGCTGGCACGAGCACCAGGCTCTATTGGAGATAGAGCAAAAATATTTACATTGCAACTTTTGCAGGGAGCGTTGGAAAAAAATGAAATGATCAGAGCCGGTCTAGATTGTTCTGTACTTTTACCGTGTTATTGAAAATAGTCTTCCTAACATTTGGCGTTCATAATATGACTAAACAAACCCATTAGCGTCATTAGCAGCACAGCATCTGTTGAGTTTTATTATATTCCGTTATATTTCATAGGCCGTCTGCATGCCATTTCCAAGTATCCGTTTCCTTCCAGCATACATTTATGGAACATGGAAATTGTACGTTTTAACCCAACATTGGTCACTTCGGCGCTACAGCTTGTGTAGTGTATTTATTGCTAACATCAGTTGCTTAGACAGTCCTCCCTCCAGTCCGCAGAAGATATCTTCTACGTGTTCTTCCTCTCCGAGCTTGTTTTCCTCCTGCGCCGATGTTACTTTTAGCCGGTGATAAGAGGCAACATCTGTTGTGTGTTGTATGGGGTGAGGAAGCCCTGCATGGGGCTGAGGGCTCGCAGGCCCCCGGCTCTCCATTGTCCAGGCCTCTTGCTCTTTATCCTGGTGTCTCTTCCATTTGCCACATCGCATCCGCCCAACAGCTGACACTCCTCACCCATTATACACCTAAGCGGAATTGTCAATAAGATTTCTTCATCGTTTTTTTTCCCTCCCTCCTCCCTGCTATTCCGTCTTACAAGGAGAGTGGAGGCTCTTATTTGATTTCGTTCCGATTCAGAAGGCCTCAGTACACACACACACACACACACACAGAGTTGTCCCTCACACGCACACACACTCCGTCTGAGATATAAGGGAAGTGTCTGGCTGGTCCTTTTCTCGCTCACTGCTGTGCTGTTAGCCAGCGTGTTAGGAGCTGCAGGCTTTCAGGCCACTGAAAACAGCTGCCTTTCCTTCATTCACACGGCATTGCATTTTCCATTCAGGACTATGGATCTCCTGCCTTTGGTAATGCAAGATCATTATTATCCTCTTTTCTTATCCGCTTTTTCTCTGTTTATGTCTTGTGTGCCTCACAGTGTCTGTTCAGGTTTAAATAGTTGCTGATTTACAGTTTAGTTAGTACAGTTGTGTGCAAACGTTTGGGCACTCCGGTCAAATCCCATGCAAAAATAAGTGCACATCTTCTACAGGGAACACGTTTTAATGCACAGATACTGTTTGTTTGCTGAATATTATGCATTGAGAAAAGTATAACATTTGGTCTGTGCAAATGTTTTGGCACATTTTGTGTTTTACACTCTCAGAAATAAAGGTAGTAAACTGTCACTGGGGCAGTGCCCCTCTTGTCACTGGGGTGGTACCATTGAGGGTACATCTCAGTACCTTTAGTCAGGGAACATAACTGTACCATAATCCATTGAAATTATATTTTCTAAGTTGTACTGACTCCACACACCCCGTCTCGTCTCCAGGCTTTTTATTTTATTGTTCTGTTTTTAAACATTCAGTTATGAAAAGGTACAAATACAAACTTGGTATAAACTTATTTAAGGTTCACAACTGGACCTTAAAACCACTGGTGTACCTTTAAGGGTACATTTACATTGTTTGTACCTTGATGAACATGCACAGCACCTTTATTTCTAACAGTGTATGCTTTATTATTTCCAATATGTTAAACTCACCAAATAAATAAAAATTGTGCACTAAAATCAACAAAGCTTTAACTGAGACTGTTAAACTTGTACACGACTGTATGTTTAATGAGAGAAGCTTCGTTTTGGGCTTGTAGGGTTGTAGTGAGAGTTGTAGTGAGTGGTGCTGGGTTTTAGGCAGGGCATGGGAAGAGTCTTCTGTACTAAAAAACAGCTAAATGAAGAACATCTGATAGCGCTGGCTGTCTTTGTGATGTGGGAGTGCATTGAGCTCTTATCTATGTGCTGAGTCCCGGCGGACTGATGCCTAACTGTATGCTCTCTCTCTCTCTCCCTCTCTCTCTCTGTGCAGACCTCATGGAATAGAGACCATGACGACACAGCGTCCACACGCTCCGGGGGCACACCGGGACCCTCCAGTGGTGGACACACATCACACAGTGGTGACAACAGTAGCGAACAAGGTAAGGAGTCTCAAAAAACTTTGTTTTGTGTGGATGCATACATCCAGGGCTACTCCAACACTACTGCTCTATAGCCATTCAACTGCTGTCCCCCTACTGTGGGAGCTTTTTGATGGCAGCTGAGAAGATTGAGAGCTGAAGCAGATGTTGCAGAGAAAAGTAGGGCTTCTTCTTTTTGCAGGGGGCTTCGCTTGAGCCTATCAGCTGGTTGTGATAAGTCTGTGTGCACTAATGAGGCTTCTTCCAGGCCCTGAGTCACAGGCCGGACGGACAAGACATCCGACCGAGCCGCTGGCGATGACAGTCCAAGTGAAGAGCTCCTCAATCACAGGGTTTTATTTACTCCCTGTTTTTATTCCAGCCGGAGCCTCTGGAATGTCTCTGTTCAGGCAGCGGCAATATGAAAAGCAGTTATAGACATTGCACATCTCTTTGGTCTACACATCAGCCTTTAGTTTGCAGTTTAAATCGGAAAGTCTGGTTCTCTTTCGTGCATCAACGTAGCACAAAAAAGTGGATAATCTGCAAGAAAAAGTTTGCAGGAAACCTTTCCTCAAAAGTAGAATAGTTTCTTGTAAAATGTCTCTCAAAATTCGATTTTTACGAGGCTGAAGTCGCTTCTTATTCACCAGCTTCTTAAATGGTGCCTGAGGTGCCAGAATGTAACTGCTGCACTATTTAAGGTGGAACAGGAAAATTCGAACAAGAAGCTGGTGAATAGGAAGCGACTTCAGGTTCACAACTTTTTAGTGTTTGACTGTTTCTTGATGCAGATTAAACATATCAGGAAACCAGCTGGAGTGATTATAAACGCAAATAGGTCAGTTCGTCTCCAAATCCTCGATGCTCGTCTTAAATTTTTCTCTGTGCCGTTCCGTTAGCTACTAGCTAGGCGAGACTGTTATCGTTGCTATGGTGACCAGCAGTCTGCATGCCAATCTTCAGGGTCAAAAGTTGGTGAATTAGCAGTTATAGGCTACTTTAACTCCAGTGTGTATGACCATTTATTCCTCAAACTGTGTTCAACATTGGTTATTCACAAAAATGTACATTTCTAGCATGATGTCACAGTGTACGTCACCTATGTGCTGGCAAAAATGTAAGCGCCCCCAACTTAAAACACATCCCCGGTGGTTACTGAATAGTATATAGTAGTTACTGAATATTAAGTCCTTAGATTAATAACTGCAATTTGAGGAGTTAATTAGCACCCCACTTTTCTGTGTGTGGCTGAAGGGGTCTGAGGAAGAAGCAAAGGGGCTGGTTTCAAACAAACTGTAGGCAAAAAGCAACTTCATTTATTATTGAAGCCTGTGTGAGGGCAGCAGTCCGAAGGCCTGGGCAGCCGGCAGGCAGAGCAGAATGGGAAGCAGAAAGGACCGCATTACGTTCCAGATGACTGAGCGGCGATTTCTATACCAGCCCTGGCCCGGGCTTTTCTTTTCTTCTTCTCCTTTTTTTTTTACTCCTCCTCCCCTGGCTGGAGAAGGAGGGCGATAAGAGGAGAGTGGCCGTCAGATGGCTGATGACTAATGGTCCAGGCGGCACGCTGCGCTCTGATTGGGCCGCTTAATGAGCACATTTTGTGCGGGCTCGTAGCTCCCGCTCGCCACTGACCTTTGCTCTTTATTGACCAAACTGACACTTCATTTTTCACATACTTCCAATTATAGCTGGGCCTTTAATGTCGCCCCCTCCTCTCCCCAACCTTCTCCAATCCCTTCACCTAGACCACTTTTGTGGCCGTGTTTTTGTTTGATTATTTTTCTGGTGGCAGAAAACATGACCAGAGCTGGACATGAAGCCATTGTGTGTATGTATCTTTGTGCAGCCCCTCGTTCGAAAGGGTCAGGCCTTGCTGAAGCAGTGTGGCACTGCATATGTGTTGCTCGAAGCTGTTATGTGGGGGGCGTTATGCTAATGTGGGTTAATTACTGATTGTGGAAAGTAGCAGTATTAACCGTATTAGCATGTTCTGTAAGGAGTCACTTCATAATCCCAATAAGCGCATTATTATCCTTTTGGCTGAGACACTCATGCCCATTTTCCCCTGTCCCAAATGGCCTCTCCTTCCCTCCCTCCCTCCCTCCGTCTCTCCCTCCCTCTCTCTCTCATAGATTGTTTCCTCACTGACCTTTTCCGTCTCTCCCTGCTCTCCCGCTTCCTTTCACTGCACACATGTCAGTGAGTTCCTCTTCTCTATGTGCCTGCGTGCACCTAATAAACATCTCCATGTCCATCTTCCAAGGCAGCACAGCCTAAAGAAGTGCTCTTGCACTAGGCTTTCTTACATACCGAAGCATTGGAGCCCACATGCTTTTACCATGTAGCTAACAACCATTAGCAAAATGCTTCAAACGTGCTTTTAACACCAGGGCCGAATGACTTGGGGAAGATATGTAGTTTTTCCATAGTATTGTAAGTATGATTTAAATTGTGAATATTTTCTTCAAATTAAGGCCCAAAGGGGTTTTTTTTGTCCAAGAGCTTCTGGACGTCCATTTCTTTGGGCTTGTAGCTCAAGCGCTAAATGTAGTTCACCAGACAGCCAGTTAGTTGTGGTTGTGCTGTCTGTGAATGAAGTAAAATACAGTATTTTACTGTGAAATTTTAACGCACAATTTCTATTTAACTGCTGAATTTAACACACTGGAAAAGAAAAATTGTAAAAAAGGTGTAAAATATGCTACAACTCAAGCACAGGCCACATTTTGTGTGTTTCCCCCACTATGTTAAATTCAACAAACAAACAATAATTTTACATTCAATTGTGCCGATATATGTCCCCTTTTCCTACTTCACCAAAACTTGGAATTTGGCCATGGGTGCCCAAACTTTTGCAAACGACTGTAAAACTTAAAACTTGTAGGTGGTAATTAAAACCGCAGCTCTTATCATTTTAAAATTGCTCTTTCAAATTGCAATTTCGATTTAAAATCGATTCATCTTTCTTCCCTACATTGCACAACTGCATAACCATAAATAACCAGGAGAAATATTCATATGATTTATATGATATTCGTGATGCACTCCTAACAATAAAGGTGCACTTAAGGGCTCTTTGGAGTGCCAATGGAGGTTCTTTGAGAAACCCATTTAAAGTTTCAAGAACTTCCACATAATGTGAAGTTCTGTACCAATTAAACAACTCTACATCCAAGCCAAGAACCATTCAGTAACCTTTATTTTTAAGACTGTAATAAACATTGATGTGGTTATTATTCATAATGTGCCTTCAAACATAAAAACGCTGTGATCCCTAATGCAACATTACCATAAGTTACAATTACACATGATAATGTGTTTATGGTATTATAACCACTCAATGTTTCCGAGATCTTATGAAGCGCCTTCTCCATATGGAGGAGAGAGAGAGGGATGGATTCTCTGCATAGTTCATTTATGATTGTAAGGCTCTCCTAGCGAGCGTTCCCTCCTCTTTAAAAGAGTCCAGCCAAGACCCCATCCAGTCCTTCTTTAATTAGAGCCTGTCTATTAGCGCAGGCGGCTCTCCGTAGCACATACGTACCCGCCTTTGTTTGACTGCTGCCCTCTCAGGGGACTTGTTGTGGTATTGTATCTGGGATCCCACTTATTTTAGTGAGCGTTCGAGAGCCTTAGAGGGCAAAAGAAAACAAATCATTATTACGGGCCTCCTATTTCCCGACCAAAGAGCAGCGAGGGTTCTTGGCAAGGCCAGCGCCCGCCCAGATTAAAAAGAACACCCTTGGGCCACAGAGAGGAGAGGAGGGATAAGAATTTTAACCCTACCAGGAAGGGCCTGGGCTCAAAGAGAGGACACACACGTATCCAGACAGAGCACGCTGAGTGTTTTGAAAAGCTTAGGGTTTCCTCCGCCTCTTCAGAGAGCGCAGGGCCGAGGTGATGACTACAGGAGTCCGATATGTATCAGCAATTACCAGGACCCATTTGCAGAAGTCCCCCCCTCCACTAAGCGTGCCAAGTCAAATAGTTCCTGGGAGGCTCTTGTTATTGTCTGCATAAATTTACATGAAGAGCTGCAGACTGAAAGTATATAGAGAGGAGCCCGCATGTGCCGCTCTAAGAAACCAACTTCTTGAAACCAAACCACCAAACTCAACAGCAATGATTTTTGATGAACATGGCTATTCAGGCATGGAGCAAACAACAACGATGATTCAGACTCAAGCACGTGCTTCTTACCCAATACTGGGTGGTGCTAAATGTCCCCATCTGTTGGAGAGAGGGAGATGTTATATTTCATTCCTGCCTGACACTGGATTCTGAGTAGAGAAAAGTGCTGGAGCTGCATGCATCTGATCATTATTTTGCCAGTTTGATTCCCAGCAAGCAAGTGCTGTTGTCGACAGCTCCCATCGACTCGCTTGCCAGTTTGCCACAAGCCTCTGTGAAGGTCAGACCAAGCAAGAGTCCTCATTGGCCCTGAGCTGCCTCTTCCGTCCAGCGATTGGCCGGATTTCGGAGCTATCCGGTGGATGTAGCCTTGCACAGGATGTCAATCAGTAGCACTGCTGTCCAAGTCCCACCCACAAGGCCCTCGCTGCACGTTCTTGTCAAAGTCACTCGTTAATTGAAACGATTGTCCAGCAGACCGGAAGAGTCCAGCCTCTCTGGTTCCCTCTTCATCTGTTTCTCTCTCTCGCTCTCTCTCTCCCTCTCTCTCCCTCTCTCTCTCTCTGAAGGAGCATGCACATGCTTGGGTTACTTCCCGTGCCCTCGCCCCCAGCATCCTGCCTTTAGCAATGTACAGAGGGGTTTTGGTTTTTTGAGCAATAGCTTGGTGAAAAGTCTAATCTTATGCTTACTTTTAACATAGTTGATCGACCAAGACACATTTGGTGTCTAAAGTTTGCTTATTTTGTTTTGCACTGGAGCTGAGGTAATGTAGATTACAAGCAAGGAAACCTCATATCAATTAGTATTACAGTAACATTTATGGCATTTGGCGCTCTTATCTAGAGCAACTTACAATTGGGAGTCTTGCCCAAGGACTCGTA